TTTGGCAGGTGAGTGTTGAGTGTTTGGATGCAGGGAAGCCGATTGACCTGGGTGTGTTGGACGGGACATGGCGCTTGCAGTATACATCGGCACCAGATGTCCTAATTCTCTTCCAGTCTGCAACTACTCTTCCTTTCTTGGAGGTACATTCATATGATGCTGATTTTCTCTCTTATGATTATATTGATGTTCTACATATACTCTGTGTCGTGTTCTAACAATATCTACACGATCATGTTTGTCTGGGGATCTTTGCAGGTTGATCAAATCTTTCAAACATTTGAATGCGCGGGCCAATCCGACCGAGGTGTTGTCCGCAATGTGGTCAGATGGAGCATACCAAGGTTGCTTGAGGTATTTCCTGTTTATTTTCTTTCTTTCTTTCATTTTGTAGTGTGGGTTGAGTGGTGTAAGGTTTTCTGTATTGAAATATGGAAGTGTGGCAATTAGTGAAGCCATTTTCAGGAGGTAGACTGAGTGTGGAGAGTTTCTTGGCTTTAGCTGTTTGCTGATGTTAGAACCAAATCTACCAAGCGAGGATCTCGAACTCAAGTTATATTAGTATTTAGTGCTCAAATTGTCTGTTGGTGAATAATTTTATGAGCTGGTTGAATACTCATACTTTGGGGATTAATGGCTTTAACTTAGAACTGTCGCATAACAATCATACCTAATCAATCTACAATTAATAGTGAATTGATCCGACAGTGTAACACACAATATTTCGATCTTTTAGCTTGCGGAATTCATCTTTCAGATAATATAATTGAAAAGAATGTGAACAGGTGGGAAAATACTTGATGCAGATGGTAAATACTCTAAAAAGCTATTTCTGAGGTGGATTTACTGATATACTAAATTCGTACACAGAATCAAGATATATGAACGGTGTAAGGATTATATCTTTCGTTGCCTTAGGTTCATGTTCTCAGTTGCACTACTCACAACTGAGATTAGATCAACTAAAACTTTAACTTATTACTGAATTGATTATTTCTTTTAGGCTGGAGCATGTGTGTGCATATATTGCTCATGTCAAAACCTGTCTGAATAAGCTTGTACAATATTACATAGTGGTATTAGTATGCATATTCATTGTCCTACAGTCCTACTACGAAATAAATTTTCTCAGAGGTAGGGAAATTCAATTTTTTCGACTTGCTTACTTTTAAGAGCGGAGGCATCAGATAAAAATGGAAAATGTTAAGATTCTGGGGCAGTCGTGAAGCAGAAATCATGTGAATATAAGGATGAGAGTGAATGCAAATACTTTATTCAATTTGGATGGACCTTCTTTTCTTTGGGTTTCTTTAAATGGAAAGTTCATCTAGCTAAAAATAAATTGAAACAAGAATTAGAACTATTTGGTGATAAAAGTTCCCTGACCAAGGTCTTCTGCAAAAGGTGGATCTCCAAGAATAATCTGCAGAGCTGAACCAACAAGTGTGAAGGTTTTGCCTAAGAAATGAAATAGGTTCCAGTTTATCAGTTCAGATTGTGTGTAGTTGTTACAAGCTGTCTCTGCATGCTCAGTTTAGTTCATCCAAGGATACGAAAATGTAAATCTTGGATATACTACCGTTATTTTGTAAGTAGAGCTGGTGCTATATTTCAATCTTACTTCTGCCTCATTTACGTGTCAGATATAGTTCTTTTTTATCTGTTTAATAGGAGCAAGAAGGCGCAACCCTGCTTGTGTCTGCCAAATTTTCTGTTGTCTCCGCACGTAACATCTATCTCGAGTTTGAAGAGGTTTGTCTCGTCTTTAAAGAATATGTGAAGGCAAAGAACTTCTTGTTTTGGTGAACTGATTAAAGTATTAAACTATTGTTATTCAGGATATTTTGCATGATAGATACCTAGTTTGCAGCAGCTTACTGTTTTTCATTTACTTATTACCAGGGTCCACAGCAGCCTTGATAACTTGAGAAAGGTCACAAAAATGTTTATGCATTCTTTACATGATCCTGTTATTTGACAGATAGCTATTCAGAACATAAATATCAGTGAAGAATTACAAGCTCTTTTGGCTCCAGCAATACTACCTAGGACGTTTTTAAATTTGCAGGTATTGTAGGTCCAAGTTTGGATTGAATTTAGCATCCATCATAGAGGATTTATATTTATGTTATATTTATGGTGGTGGTTCTTCTTCATAATTGAGGAAACTTGGTCACAAAATTAATGCAAATCTTGAAAACCACCATCCAGAGGCTCTAGTTATTTAAAAAATAAAATAAAAATGAGAGAGTTTCAGAATTATGAAACACCCATTGTGGTTTGGTTTTAAACTCAACTTCTTTCTCGTTCAAGATTGGAAAAGGCACTCAATCGAACAATTATGTTCAAATAATGTAAGCTCTAAGTAAGAGTAAAGGAAGAATGGAACCTCAAAGATTTTTTGGAGGAATTTTTGAACTTCTCGCTTTTCCTTTTTTGTTATTACTACAAATCTCACGGTGTAGTTTTTCGACCATCCCTCAATGAAATTAAGGAATTATTGTGAGCAAACTCAATTATCATTAATGATCTAACATAATGTTTTTGAAGACACGAACTATATCTCATGAAAGAGGGTGCATCCTTTGCATTCAGTTATTGACAATTTACTACATTTAGACTTGACTTGTAAGTCTTGAGATGTTTGGTTACAGTTGCATTACTCTTGGCAAAAAATCAAGTTCTTTACACTTCAAGTTAATGGCATAGTCAAGTACCATCTAAATTTTGAACCTAATCGAATCATTAGTCCAGAAGTTGCTATTGCGTAATGTCCTTTTGTATTCATTTGTAGATCTTGCAGTTCATTAAATCTTTCAAAGCTCAATTTCCCGTGAGAAGTCCACAGAGGTACACTATACTTCGTCGGTTTCAGCTTCAACCACCATCAAATTTGATTTTTTTTAGTGAACAAAAGATGATTTTGCAGGTGGTCCGTGGGGGGATTATATTACCTGTCATACCTGGATAACAACATGCTCTTGGGCCGTGCAGTTGGCGGTGGTGGCGTATTCGTCTTCACAAGGACTCAAGCACTCACCTTCTAGAAAGTCAGCAACTAAAATAATGAAGACATGCACATCTGTAAGTCATGTATAAACTCTATGTGAATCATAATTCGTAGGTCCTTCTATAGACAATGATCAATACTTTCCGGACAGATACACTAAAATCTCTTACACCCCAAGGAGTATGAGGTTCGCTTGTCTGGAAAATGTGATTTTACGATCCGAATCATATATGGTTCGTTTGGACTGGATTTTGTAGTCCCAGACTAGTTAAAAAATGCAAAACTTTACGATCCGAATCATGAAGTGCGTTTTATAGTTTTATTGTTTAGGCCGAGCATAGAGCCATTGTGACTGAAATGTTATGGTTGAAAAGTAGTCTTTGATTCTCCAATATATTTTTAACATATTTGATAACAAAGTAGTTGTGTCATTGTTGTGGCATGGTTGAACATGGGAAATTAGCCGTCCAACCACCTTGATTCTCCAATATATTTTGAACATATTTGATAACAAGAAGTTGTGTCATGGGAAATTTGCCCTCCAACGACTTTGACTATGTAATATATAACGAGCATTTAACCTGTATAAACTACAAACAATGAAACCCAAATTCTTCCTCATTATTTCCTACATTATCATGCAATCCTTTGCAATCCTGTTGATCCACATTGATCATCAAGCCTCCCCCCATCATCTTGACAGTTAACTGCAACCAAACACGTACACTACTATGGCACAACTCTCGTTCTTCTATCTCACCATAACCCCTGCAGAAGCCTCCCGCCTCGACCACGACCTTTCCATCTCCTGCGCTTCCTTCATGACCGCCTGTAACAACAGCATTAGCGCCAACTCATCAATGGTTAGAGACTCCACTCACGCCCACTCGGTTTTGTCACCTGCATACATGTTGGTTTGGTGGTTTTCAGTGCTGACATGCACCCGGGTGATAAAACGGATGCTTTTTGTAGGCGTGAGTCGGGGTCTCGACAATTGACGTGGTGGCGCTTATGCTGATGCTGCTGGCGGCAAGGAAGGATGTGCGGGGAATGGAGAGGTTGCGGTCGAGGCGAGAGGGTTATAGTGGGTTCAAAGATTGATGGGGAGTCGTGCGATAGGTAGTGCACGAGTATGGTTGCAATTAAAGTGCACCCATCGAGATTTCTGGTCTAATTGCCTCGATCTGAACGGTGGGAACAAAAATAATAAATATTATCATTAAAATAAGTAAATATATTTTTATTTAAATTAATGCACAGAGTTTACAAAATTAAATCAATAATAATTATATTTTTATCAAATATAAACTTTCCTCAAATATTCTGTACATACAAATATAGATGGGAAAAGTACTCCATCCATCTACAAATCCCTTTTATTTGCACATTAACGATAGTTTTCTTATATATAGTAAATATACTAATTTTGAATATTAATATTGGAATACGTTTTTATATTTGCCATTACTTTTTAAATTATTATTGTTGCTTAGACTTTGGATTTTATGAATAATTTATTTATTTAATTTTACATGTTCGATTTTTGTTGTATTATGAAAAAAGTGAAGTAAAGAAATATTTTATTTTCCACAGTACTGTGTGTGAGTTAAAATGAAAGTCCTTTCATATCATTGTTGGTTACACTTTGAATTTTATGAATAATTTATTTATGATTTTATTTTAAATGCTCCTGTACCTACGGTGGACACATTTTTAATATGCCCACTGCGTAGGTGGCATGCACTTATTGGTGATGTTAATATGTTTAAAAGAATACATCACCAATGAGTGCATGACACCTACGCGGTGCGCATATTAACATGTGCCAATCGTGGGTAGGTGGGCATTTCTCTTTATTTTACACTAGTACAACACCCGTGTATTACACGGGTGCTTGCTATTTTTTTTAAAAAAATCTAAAATTAATGAGAAAAAGTAGTTTGAAAATTTAAATATTTTTATAAGATTATATATATTATTATATATTTATTATGACACTTTTTATTTGTGCAACTTACTTGTGTTATATTATACTAATTTTTTTAACTTACAATATATAATTACATTACATATAAATATATCAATTGAGAAATAATTTTATTTTTTTAATGAATATTAATAAATATTATTATTTTTTTTTATTATTATAAAGATAAATATAATTTATTTATTTCATATATACAATATAGATGTCAAATCGAAGATCATCAACATATGATTAATTTGATATATTATATATGTAAAACCGACAAGAAATACAAAAATTATTAACTTTTAAAATACATTTATAATTCAATAGCTTATTGAAGGAAACGAATCAAAATTCGGGGATATATTAGTCACTTAGTGCCTCACTATGTAAAATTACAAAAAATTAAAAGGTTATATTAGTAAAATTGATATTAAAATACCTAAGTTAGCTAAATAATATTTATGGAATACCCGAACCTAGATTATTAATTATTAATATATCAATATTATTTATCCAAACTTAATTACGAAACATGATTTTTTGCCAAATAGGATTCTGAAGTACTATAAGCAGCCACGTAGGCTCAGCGCATTCGAGAATTATATATTGAGAGGATGTTTGATTTTTCTTGTATTAAAAAAGTAAAGTAAAGATTCAACGAGCCCAACATAGATTCATTTGCTTTTATTGTTTGGCGAAATGAGCTGCGGGTTTTAGACCCAATCCCAAGCCCAAGCCCAACTGTGACTACTTACTGATGTGGCCTGTTTTTATTGTCTTCTTACACATCTGCAAGCCCAATATTTAAAGTTAAAAATCCAAACCTGTTCAATTTATGATTTCTCTTTTTTGGTTTCTAGAAGGAGAGAGAGAGAGAGAGAGAGAGAGAGAGAAGCTTATTATTTCAACTTTTTATTTGTTCAAAATGTTAATTTTTATCATTAATATAATTTATTATTTTATTTGACATGCAAAATTTGTAGATAGAAACCTAGGTATCTGCTCCTTAGTTCTGTCTAGCCTTTTCTTTTGTTTTATTTTGCTTAATTATATGATAAAGTTGTTTTAATATAATAAATTTATTTATATTGATATGTCAATGTATTTGCATTATATTATTTATAATACAATGTAAGTAGCCCTAATAGTAATATATTTTTATATAAAATAATAAAGAATATTTGGATACCATGACTGTGGTGCATTGTTTGTAGTATTTTTGGGCATGTGGTAACCGGGCGACCTGACTCGGGTCGTTGTCAAAGGAAGACTGTTCGGAGCTTCGTTCACTACCTAGTCGTCAAATTCACATAACTGAGAACAAAGTCCTAAACATTCTACTCGATTGATGGGATTTGTTGCACGAAATTACGCTAAATAAATGAAAATAAATGATGGAAAATGCAAATAGAGAGAGAAAGATCAAATCTTTGATCTACTGGAATCTCCATGACTCAAGAAAAACAAATATAAACAAGAGAAAACATGCGAGCAAAAGTGATCCTAAGTATTCTAACACGAGCTTTCTACACTAAATCGTCCTAACACACGAAAGCAAGCAATGAAAACAAAGTAAAGACAAAAAATCGAGCATCAACACAAAAATCGAAAAACAAACTCAAAGTAGTAAGCCCTAATCAAGGTACTTACTCTCCTATCGCAAGCGTAGACGAAAATGGTGCGGAAAACTCGAATCTTGATTGAAAATAAAGTTGTCGGAATTTCGCCGAAAAGTAGAGTCATGGATCTCCAACCAAAGCTTAAAAAAATAAAAGAGAGAAAATGGAGATGATTTTTCAAGTTAAAAGTTGGGAAAATGAGCGGAGATATAAAAAATACAAAGCACAATGTCTATTTATAGCTACCCACAAACATACATAAACTAGAAACACACACATTTAATGAAATTCTGAAGTTCGCCGGTCTCAAAACATGGTTCGTCAACGAGTTTGGGGTGGGAGTAGTGCTGGAATGGGCGTTCGTGGGTCGCCAATGGACGTTCGCCTGCGAGTGTAGTATTGTGGTGTTATGGATCGCGCCTTCGCCGGTCGCGAAGTGGTGTTTGCCTGTGAGTGTGATGTTGTGGTGCTGTGGGTTGTGCCTTTGCCGGTCCTGAAGTGGTGTTCACCTGCGAGTGTGGGCTAGCATGACCATCTTGTGCGCTTGTTCGTGGGGAGCGACTCGGGGTTCGCGACGAGTGCAGCTGGGCAAAGGGCTCTTGGGCGCAGTGCCGGCTCTTGGGCCAGACAGGCCAGGCAGGAGCCTAGGGCCACAATATTTTAGGGGCCTCCTCATACATATATATATGTTTATATTTTATACTTTATGTTGTGCTTTTTTTTTTTTGTTATGTTGGTTGAACCTAAAGTTCATTTACATCCATTTATACTTGTACATATATTTTATTATGTTAGTTGGGCCTAAATTCCATTTATACTTCCATTTACATACTAATTTATTTCAATTAGTTTATCTTGCTTTATATAAAAATAATAATTAATTATAAATAAACAAATAAGAACTATCTGTTATTAATAAGTGAGTTAAATGATTAATGATAGATAAACAAATAAGAGCTATTTGTTATTAATAAGCGAATTAATATCTAATTATAGATAAACAAATAAGAATTATTTGTTATTAATAAATGAGTAAATGAAAATAAATTATATTAATATACATGTATAGTAATCATTAATTTTTTTAACTTAAAAAGTTTTTATATTTTAATTTACTTATCTTTTTTATATTCATCGTATTTTTCATATTTGTCATTGACAATGCTTGTTATTATTTGTTCAAATAAAAAAAAAATAAAAATATGATTGCGGCTACTCTTGAAAAAATTGCCTGGGGCCTCCAAATTTCTGGAGACGGCCCTGCTTGGGCGCATGCGAAACCGGGTTCGCAACGAATCGTGAGGTAATCAATGGCAATCTCTCTCTTGGGAATTCGCATGGCTCGATCAAGTAGTTTGACTAACTCGTCTCGGAAATGGCTCGCCATAAAAAACATGGACAACGGCTCAGACAATGGCTCGTCTTCCTCCAATCTCGAACAACGTG